ACCACTGTAGTTCATGGAAAGCTGCTGGGTGGAATACAGGTAGACCATGGGGCTACAGACCTCAGGTTGCACTGGACAGACTTGACAAAGACGGGAAGCCCCTACTTTCTAGAATGACTCTGAGTAAACCCACAGGGTCAACCCCCATTAAACTTACCCTGAATATAGAACACCCTAGTCCAAGGGACGCAGGGGAATATGTGATGGGGATGTACTGGAAGGGAGGTGGCTCACATAATGCGCTGGGGACATTTTACCTACAAGACATGCTCACCTCCCCAGACTGGGTAGGAACCACTCACATGATCATTAACCCACTAAAACCACATATTAAGACCCTACATGACATGGTAGCAATAGCCAACCCCACCTTTGAAGACACTATGGCAGTGGAAACTGGTTTTTCAGACACTAATTTGTGGCTAGAATGGATGAGGTATAATGCCAACTCACACAATAAGACCAATTGTTACGTGTGTGGAGGAGCCAGGCCCCATCTGGGCACAGTTCCTCTGAATTTGCCTCCTGAAGTAGAATCATGTGTTCTGAGCCTTTACACACAGTCCGTCACCAACTCCTCGACATGTGAATCATGGAAGAGAATTTACCCGATCACTCACGGACATGTAAAACCACCTGATGGAGTCACCATCTACCCAGGTAATTACACATGTTATACAATATCTAAAAACACCGGTTTGTATCTGGGCAAATTCCCATCAGGATATTGCTCAACTTACCATAATCCACCTGTATCACTGCTAATGAACCACACAAAGACAATCGGTGATATCTATTGGTTATGTGGGGATAAACAATTGAGGCCCCAATTAACTGGGCAATGGTGGGGGGAGTGTGCCCTAACTAAAGTCATAATGCCTATCCATATCATTCCAGATGGTGACCATAACACGTTAAACCTCACACATGTACACTCTAGAACCAAACGAGAGACTCCTATTCGAGGGAGTTTCGACCCCCATGTGTATATTGATGCCATAGGTGTGCCAAGGGGGGTGCCTAACGAATTCAAAGCAAGAGATGAAGTGGCTGCAGGATTTGAATCCCTAATTCCAATGATAACTGCTAACAAAAATGTCAATTGGATTAACTACATTTACTATAATCAACAGCGTTTTGTCAACTACACTAGGGATGCCCTACAAGGCCTGGCAGAGCAGTTACAAGCCACTACCCAGATGACATTCCAGAACAGAATGGCCCTAGATATGATATTAGCTGAGAAAGGGGGTGTATGTAAAATCCTCCCTGAGACCATGACATGCTGCACATACATTCCAGACAACACTGGACCCAATGGTAAGGTGACTATGGCCATAGAAAAGCTAGATAGTCTTGCAGACGAGCTAAAGAAAAATTCAGGAGTCACTGACACTTGGGACAGATGGTTTGGATGGATGAATGGTTGGCAAAAGACCCTCTTCCAGGTGGGGACAGCTGTTCTCATAATGATCATCATTTTCTTATTTCTGACCTGTTGCATATTCCCCTGCATACAGAAGTATCTACAGAAAGCGGTAGACAAGACTATAGATGACGTGACCCCTACTTTCATACACCAAGACATCACAGACCTCGAAGATGACACCCCACATACACCCCTACAAACACATCAGTTCAAACAGACAACTGCCTTTCTGTAGGGATACAGTAGGGAAAGCGTCTGTTTTAACAGGTGAGTCTCACGTGTGGAGATGTAGTGGGCTAGCCACTGCGGGATACCCGCGGAGTGAAGTGTTTGATGCTTGTTAAAACAGATAGGTTGCGGGCAACTAGGGACATATTAGGGACAGCAGCAGTTGTTATGGTAAATAGCCATTTTAGGGGGGACTGTTGTGGAAATAAGGTCTGCACATATTTCCTAGATAGAGAAAATGTCTATTTACTCATTTCACGATATATCACATATAAAGCTAAGCACACATATTTTAATCAAGATGGCTGCTAGAAGCTTCTAACCCCTCCTTCCCCCTCCCTTCCCCTCTTAACATCGACTAACTACCTTGTGCAACAAGATGGCGCCGGGAAACCGTGGGAGACCCTCATGGTCCCGGTGACATCACCTACAGTAGGCAGAGCATTAGAGCAACCACTTAACACCTAACCAATTATTGATGTATTATTCCATGTTATCTCTGACAATGCATATGATGTAATTTTGCTTTAAAAGGGACTTGCTGTCCCCTCTGAATAAACTTTCCTCAAGTTATTCAACAACCTAGAACCTGTGTCTGGTGTGAATTACTTCAGGGAGCGTGCACGCATTGTTTCAATGATTTGGCCAGGGGCAGATACACAAAGAAATAATCAATACTTTAATTGATTTTTCCACTTCATAGACCTGGGGGATCGTATTTTTTGGGGGGCAGTGTTTGTCCCGTGGGTCCTGACAGCAGAGGAGGCGTGGGTCTAGGGGTCTGGAAGCGTTCCCTTATTCAGCAAGGGAAAGGATGTCTGGGGGCACTCGGGGCGAGGTCACAGCAGCACCGGTCTTCCTCCGGTAGCTTCGACGGAGATCGGGATAGGACCCCCAGGCGTGGTCAACAGGTTAGGTCATCTGGAGGGGATGGTAGGAGTCATAGTCCCCGGGGCGGGGCTATCCAGGCCTCAGGGGAGAAGCGGCAGGGTGGTGTGCGATGGGAGGCTTTAGTTGCAAGCAGGTGCTCCCAGGGACGGGACGGGTTGGTGGCACAGGAACAGTATACCCTGACCAGGACTTCTCCTCCTTGTTTCTGGTCTAGGGGCTGCTTGTCCTCAGCGTTTTCAAAGCACCGGGTGGGCTCCCCAGTTGGCGGGCAATCGACAGATGGCGTTCATCCTGGACACGTGGCAGTTGGCAGTGCAGCCTTAGGAACATCTGGGATGAGGGGCTTGGCCGGTGAGTCCAATAAGTCGCTACACTCAGACAAATTACTGCACACGTTACAATCACTGCTTAACTCGTTGGGGATGGGGAGTGGTCTGGAGGATGGAGTGGGCCTGGTATGGGCGCAGAGGACATGGGTCGCGGGACACACAGAGTTCAGTGAAGGGGGTTCGGCGGGGAATGGCTCAGGTAGGGGTGCGTGGGCCATAGTTGGCATGGCCGACGTAGGGAGCGAGTGGGCAGAACTAACAAGGGGGTCCAAGACGCGGCGTGGCAGCATGCGTACGTCTCGTTTGCGGGTCCGCCGGGGATTTTATTGACCTCCAGGAGGAGGATAAGAAAGACGAGAAGAAGAAAGAGGAGGAGAAACTGAAGCGGTATCATTAGATACCGAAGTCCTTCAGTAATTGGTTGAGGATGTTCTGCGTACTGGCCAGCGTCTTGGGCGAGAAATCGCCGGGACTATGCTCGTTGCTGTTTTGCTATCTGGACAGGATGTGGGAGGCGTACTGCACATACGGCGGACTGGCATGATGGCGGTATGATCAGCAGGTCCGGCAATGGCTGGCAGCCAATCCGGGTATGAGGTGGGATCAAATGGACCTGCTTCTCTGGATGAAGCTAATGATGACGCAGAAGGCGCAGCCCTTTGAGCAAATGGCCGACGCAAGGGGGCAGTCCGCTTCGTTGGCCACCTTGAATGCTCGGGCTGTTCGATTTCTTGCTCCTACTTTGAGCAGTTCAGTTCCTTTCTTGAGTGGGTGGTGTGGGTTGAGGCAGGGAGCAAAGCTGTGGTGCACTACCTGGACGATTTCTATTTCTGGCGGCTGATAAGACGGAAGGCCCCGATGGAATGCCTTAGTATCCTGGTCCTAGAGAAAGATTCGGTACTCGGGGAGTGTTGACTTTCTCTGGCGAAGCTAGTGGGGCTGCGAGGCATGGTGTCTGCAGCCTGTCAGTGGCTACAGCGGGTGTGCAATCCCCGCACCATTTCATCCGGGTGTCGTCATCCATGCGGGCTAACCTGGGGGTATGGGATGCCTTCTTACAGGATTTCAATGGAACAGTGTTTTTCCGGCAGGCGGGTGTGTCGGTTGCGGAGCTGAAGCTCTTTACTGATTCGTCAGATAGCGTGGGTTTTGGGGCTTACTTTGGCAGAAGCTGGTGTGCAGAAAGGTTACCGGACGCATGGGGGGCAGAACCCCCTCATTCGTAACCTGGCTTTCCTGGAGTTGTTCCCCTTGGTGGTGGCTCTGGCCTTTAGGGGCGATAGACTGCGGGACCAGAAGGTGGTCTTCTTTTTGGACAACATGTCCTTGGTACATGCAGTCAATAATCTGTCGGCTTCATTGAAGCCGGTGGTACAGATGTTGAGGCACTTTGTTTTACTATTCATGTCCTTTAATGTAGTTTTTAGTGCGCAACATGTGCCCAGGTACTTGAACATGGTGGCTGGGTGCGCAGGACGTGGGGCCTGGACGAGATGTGGCAGCCTACACTTGGGCTGCCTACAGTAAGGTCTGGGGTGCATGGGAACATTCATGGGCTGGGATGGACCAAGAGCTGGTGGGGGAATCGCAGCTCGATGCTTTTCGTTGATTCACGTTCCGGTTGTTAGCGAGGGGCACATCCCCGGTGGTGGTGGACAGGTCTATGGCAGCGATGGCTTTCTGGTTCAAGATACACAGGAGGGTGATTTTACGAAGTTCTTAGTGATCCGACAGGTGCTTAAGGGGTATCGGAGGGGACGTAGGTTGCCTGATTTCAGGCAACCGGTGTCTGTGTGAGTGTTGGGGGATCTTATTCAAGTGTTGCCTGAGACCTGTTTCGACGAGTTTGAAGAGTCTTTGTTCCAGGCGGCATTTCTTTTGGCCTTTCTCGGATCGGGGTATTGGTGAGTGCCTCACGGGTGGCCACAAGGGGCTTGCAGGTATCGGGGGTTCCCGTGCAGGAGGGGCGGTTGGTGGTCCACCTGGCCAAGTCCAAGACTGCCGTCAAGGGTGTAGGTCAGGATGTGACCCTGGGTTCTCTGCCAGGATCCACATTGTGCCCGATGGCACAGTGCCTGGCTCAGAGGCCGGTGATTGGGGGATCGTTGTTGGTGCGCACAGATGGCTATTCCTTGTCTCGCTTCAAATTTACCAAGGTCTTTCGGTTGGGCCTGGCGAGGTTGGGGTTACACACTGGTAAGTTTGGGACTCATTCCTTCCTAATCGGGGCTGCCTCAGAGGCCATGCACCTAGGTCTGGGGGAAGCGTTAGTCAAATGGATTGGGAGATAGGAATCGGTTATGTTCATCTCATATGTGCATTTGGATTTATTGGACTGAAAGGTTGGCTGGGGAATATCGGTTTGGAGTTGGTGTTTACGTTTTGTTTGTTTCCCTAGGTCAAGTCGCCTGGATCATCGGGCATTCGTTTATATTCTGGGCCAAAAGGAGGGCTGCAGCTCGAGTTCAGGGTCAGCAGCTGGGCTTTCCGAAGGACCAGTTGGCGGTGCGGTGGTTTGTGTACAGGGGATTTTGCTGGGGGGACGTGTGTAATGCGGTGTTCCTGATTGTGGCGGGTGGGAATAGGCCGGACTTGCTGGTCCTCCATGTTGGGGGCAACAATCTGGGCCTGATACCGCAGCGTAGGTTAGTGAAGTGGATAAAGCAGGACCTCAATAAGCTGAGACCTGCTGCCCGGGGTGATGTTGGTATGGTCGGGGATTGTCTCGAGGCGACAATGGAGGCATGCACGGGACCCAGTGGCTATTGATTGCTGCAGGGGAAAGGTTAACAGTCTGATGGCGAGCTTCATTAGGAAACTGGGGGACATGGTAGTGAGGCATGGGGAGTTGGAGGTCGGGTTGCCGGGATATTACCAATCAGATGGAGTTCACCTCTCCGCGGTGGGGTGGGACCCCCTGAACCTTGGTTGGCAAGAAGGGCTGCAGAAAGCGCTGTTTCTTTGGGGTGGTGGAGCTCAGACGGCTTAAGGGTTCAAGGTCTGAGCCTGTGGCGGGATAGGGAGCTGTTGGAGAGGAAATAGGCTCCCCATTAGGAAGATTATGGAATTGCCAAATTGTGATTATAGATAAGTTGGTAGGTTTTGAGTCCTGTTGGTGGCTCAGAACCTGGTGGGGAAGGGGTATCAGGGTATACCCCTGCCATGGTTAATTTATGTTTGGCACTTTAAGTGATGTTCATGTTGGAATAATGGTGGAAGAATGTTTTAAATATATATATATATATATATATATATATATATATTTGTGCTCGGAATTTCAGGTTATAGATTGTAGAGAAATCAAAAGTTGGTTGAGGTGTGCAGAAACCAACGTACGAGTAGGCCTGTAGTAAAAGAGGGCCCACCAAGGTGAAATGTAATACGTAGATGGGTGTAGGTGGGTGGGGTCAATCAACTTGCACGGCAAAGGTAAGTAGGGGCTAGGGGTTTAAGTAGGGGCTATAACTCCTCCCACAAATTCAGGTCTAATGGCCTTTTAACTTGTGCTCTGAATATCAATAGGTTATAGATTGTAGAGAAATCAAAAGTTGGTTTAGGTGTGCCGAAACCAACGTACGAATAGGCCTGTAACAAAAGAGGGTAAAAGGAGAATTCAAGGTAAACACACTTTATTGCATCTTTACAAAGCTATATTTCTGAAAGCTTGCCGACGTTCCTTCTCTGGTTATGGTATGTAAGTATGCAGCAATGGGTAAAGGAGCTCCAGCACCAGGTATGGCAGGAGCTATGGCTAGAGGATGCCTACGGTTC